ACTTAATCCACTCATTTTAATTCGCTTTTTATCATTATCCTAAGATTTTCCATTGAAAAACAAAAGTCAACGGTAACCATACCCTCAACAGAAACGCAAATGGCTCATTGACTTTATTTGATAGGGTGCACACGTTGATTAGTCATCGGAATATTTTCAACGGACAACACGCTTTAAATATGTCATAATATGAATTTAGGCTGTAGACCTGGGGTTGCCAATCTTTTCAGCAGACGGGCCAAATATGAATTTAGGCTGTAGACCTGGGGTCGCCAATCTTTTCAGCAGACGGGCCAAATATGAATTTAGGCTGTAGACCTGGGGTCGCCAATCTTTTCAGCAGACGGGCCAAATATGAATTTAGGCTGTAGACCTGGGGTCGCCAATCTTTTCAGCAGACAGGCCAAATATGAATTTAGGCTGTAGACCTGGGGTCGCCAATCTTTTCAGCAGACAGGCCAAATATGAATTTAGGCTGTAGACCTGGGGTCGCCAATCTTTTCAGCAGACGGGCCAAATATGAATTTAGGCTGTAGACCTGGGGTCGCCAATCTTTTCAGCAGACGGGCCAAATATGAATTTAGGCTGTAGACCTGGGGTCGCCAATCTTTTCAGCAGACGGGCCAAATATGAATTTAGGCTGTAGACCTGGGGTCGCCAATCTTTTCAGCAGACGGGCCAAATATGAATTTAGGCTGTAGACCTGGGGTCGCCAATCTTTTCAGCAGACGGGCCAAATATGAATTTAGGCTGTAGACCTGGGGTCGCCAATCTTTTCAGCAGACGGGCCAAATATGAATTTAGGCTGTAGACCTGGGGTCGCCAATCTTTTCAGCAGACGGGCCAAATATGAATTTAGGCTGTAGACCTGGGGTCGCCAATCTTTTCAGCAGACGGGCCAAATATGAATTTAGGCTGTAGACCTGGGGTCGCCAATCTTTTCAGCAGACGGGCCAAATATGAATTTAGGCTGTAGACCTGGGGTCGCCAATCTTTTCAGCAGACGGGCCAAATATGAATTTAGGCTGTAGACCTGGGGTCGCCAATCTTTTCAGCAGACGGGCCAAATATGAATTTAGGCTGTAGACCTGGGGTCGCCAATCTTTTCAGCAGACGGGCCAAATATGAATTTAGGCTGTAGACCTGGGGTCGCCAATCTTTTCAGCAGACGGGCCAAATATGAATTTAGGCTGTAGACCTGGGGTCGCCAATCTTTTCAGCAGACGGGCCAAATATGAATTTAGGCTGTAGACCTGGGGTCGCCAATCTTTTCAGCAGACGGGCCAAATATGAATTTAGGCTGTAGACCTGGGGTCGCCAATCTTTTCAGCAGACGGGCCAAATATGAATTTAGGCTGTAGACCTGGGGTCGCCAATCTTTTCAGCAGACGGGCCAAATATGAATTTAGGCTGTAGACCTGGGGTCGCCAATCTTTTCAGCAGACGGGCCAAATATGATTTTAGGCTGTAGACCTGGGGTCGCCAATCTTTTCAGCAGACGGGCCAAATATGAATTTTGGCTGTAGACCTGGGGTCGCCAATCTTTCTAGCAGACGGGCCAAATATGATTTTAGGCTGTAGACCTGGGGTTGCCAATCTTTTCAGCAGACGGGCTAAATATGAATTTAGGCTGTAGACCTGGGGTCGCCAATCTTTCTAGCAGACAGGCCAAATATGAATTTAGGCTGTAGACCTGGGGTCGCCAATCTTTTCAGCAGACAGGCCAAATATGAATTTAGGCTGTAGACCTGGGGTCGCCAATCTTTTCAGCAGACGGGCCAAATATGAATTTAGGCTGTAGACCTGGGGTCGCCAATCTTTTCAGCAGACGGGCCAAATATGAATTTAGGCTGTAGACCTGGGGTTGCCAATCTTTTCAGCAGACGGGCTAAATATGAATTTAGGCTGTAGACCTGGGGTCGCCAATCTTTCTAGCAGACAGGCCAAATATGAATTTAGGCTGTAGACCTGGGGTCGCCAATCTTTTCAGCAGACGGGCCAAATATGAATTTAGGCTGTAGACCTGGGGTCGCCAATCTTTTCAGCAGACGGGCCAAATATGAATTTAGGCTGTAGACCTGGGGTCGCCAATCTTTTCAGCAGACGGGCCAAATATGAATTTAGGCTGTAGACCTGGGGTCGCCAATCTTTTCAGCAGACGGGCCAAATATGAATTTAGGCTGTAGACCTGGGGTCGCCAATCTTTTCAGCAGACGGGCCAAATATGAATTTAGGCTGTAGACCTGGGGTCGCCAATCTTTTCAGCAGACGGGCCAAATATGAATTTAGGCTGTAGACCTGGGGTCGCCAATCTTTTCAGCAGACGGGCCAAATATGAATTTAGGCTGTAGACCTGGGGTCGCCAATCTTTTCAGCAGACGGGCCAAATATGAATTTAGGCTGTAGACCTGGGGTCGCCAATCTTTTCAGCAGACGGGCCAAATATGAATTTAGGCTGTAGACCTGGGGTCGCCAATCTTTTCAGCAGACGGGCCAAATATGAATTTAGGCTGTAGACCTGGGGTCGCCAATCTTTTCAGCAGACGGGCCAAATATGAATTTAGGCTGTAGACCTGGGGTCGCCAATCTTTTCAGCAGACGGGCCAAATATGAATTTAGGCTGTAGACCTGGGGTCGCCAATCTTTTCAGCAGACGGGCCAAATATGAATTTAGGCTGTAGACCTGGGGTCGCCAATCTTTTCAGCAGACGGGCCAAATTTCAGAAATAATTTTTCCTATCAGATCATGCCACTAATTAAAAAAAAAAAGAAAGAAAGAAAGTAGACAAGCAAACGTGCAACACATTTGACCGAATCGTCGCTTCCCCTTAGGTGAGCTCATGGTCAAACACTTGCCTGGTTCAATGTTTAAAAAGTAAACAATGAATCTGTATCTTTATTTTTTAAAGAAAATAAAACATAACTGAGATTCAAACATATTTATACGACTATTTTAAAGTATTTAAAAGGGAGACATCTGACTCTGTTTTGCAGAACGAAGTGCATCAAAATTGATCTCGACTGATGGTGTCGCTACACACAAACAGCTTTCCAAATGGACATCAGTAATTCGTGTTCTCCATGGTGATCTGACGTGTTTCATACAATTAAAATGTTGTTAGCAGGAATACGTGTTTCCAAGTAGCTAAACCATCGACGGAGCACGTTTGTAAAACGCAGGATATTTATCCAATTTGTCCTTTCCGTTTTATATAACTCTTCCAAACCGACTTGATGGAATTTCTCCTTTAACTGTGTATTACAACAGATTTCACAATGTTCCATTTGTAATCTTCATGGTTATAGATTCACGTCTACTGCGAGTGCGTCTCGAATGCTAAAAAAAAAAAAACTATTTTTTTTTTAAAAATCGTAAAATCGGTTTTCAAGGTCGAGGTTTAAATCGGATATCAAAGAAGCGTTTTTATCCGCCAACCCCTGAGTGACGTCATGTTGCAATGACAATGTATAAAAGGGGGGAAAGTTTTTTGTCCTCAACTGTTGTTCCCAAAGACCACGTTACATTTGACATACAGAAATATGATCAGACATCTTATTAATTAGTAGATCTTTCCTTTGTAGACGAATATTGATGTCATCTAGTAGATCTTTCCTTTGTAGACGAGTATTAATGTCATTTAGGTGGCTGGTTATAACGACGAGAAATGGGAAGCTGAAACCCACTCTTTCTCTTCAAACTCCGAGATAATTATTGACTTGCTTGCAGAAAAGGATTTTATTTCTTGCTGCACATCAAACACCCCTCAAGTTAAATTATGACCATCAGATAGCGTTATAATAGATTCAGCAAGCTAGTTTTAAAGATGACGATTCATAACATTGGTTTGAGAACCGTTATACAGTAGTGCAGTGCGGTACACTTATCCCCTGCACCCTATTGACCTGACGTTGTCAGCAGTCCAAAGTCAAGTGAAGTGTGACAAATAGATTGATAAACACAGTGGCTTATCAGTGTCCCAGGCAAAACCAGTGCTAAAATTAAAGTATTTGTTTTCACTGTCCATAACTGATCAGGGATTGCACCATGAAACGGACGATGTTTAGCTATTGTTAGTGTTAGACTTTGGAACAATTTTTGTATTTAGATTTTCTCAACATTTCGCCATGGTTTATTCCGTGTCATCTGGTTTCCTCCTCTTGAGGTAACGCGTCTCCCAGGAAACTCGGAGGCGCCCACATGGAGGTTTGCCTCTTCGTGGCTAGTAGGGAGGTACCGTTCTCCCGAAGCAAAAGAAAAAAACAACAACCCAAAAACGGTCCGAGAACATGAATCCCAGCGGAACGGGAGTTGTAACGTCGTAACATGATTACTTCTTTCCTTTGATGGATATGAATGAGGCTGGGGTGGCGGTTTAAAAAACCCCTCCCGATGATTTTTGCTACGCGGCCGTGAGAAAGCCGCTTATAGGTCACCGTTTCGTCCCAGCTTTTCATCCCGGCCGAAGACTCCGTGCGTGGTGGGGGATAGTAACGCAACACCATTCCTCCGAACACTTTAAGTGCAGCATTTTCAGTCGACCGCATTTCCCACAGGCTCGACAGCCCACAGACATCATTTTCCACATGACATTCCGTGTAAAAAAATTCGCTTTATATTAGAGTAATGATTGTCTTTATTTTAGCCAGCAGTGGGTCTTAACCTACGTGTCTTAGCACCCTTTTACTTATCCCTTAGAACTTCAGTCTGTTTAACTAAGTTTCATTTTTATTTTTCATTTAGATTTAAAAGATACATAAGGAAAAGTAGTAAAGTTGTATTAGTAAAAATGTTCTACTTATTGTTGTAAATTAAGTTTCAAATCTATATATTTCCTTTGCTAGAAGCCGAAAATCACGAACGTTCATTTACAATATATGTTTAATTTCTTATTGGTCTTGAAAATGTGATCGCTAATTCAATTAAAACAATAAAAATAATACGTTAAATGTTGTTTAAATCATTTTAATATCGAAGCAATTTTCATATGTTCTTTAACACTGCACTCTTTTCTCTGTTAAAACATTTTGTGCATAGAGAAGCTCTCACCACTCTAATGTAGAAAAGAACATATTAATGCTCAGCTTTATTGGCGACGTGGGGGGCCTGGTGGTGGGCGTCTTCCAAACGGAGGGGGAGAAAGACCATCACGAGGTGGCGGTGGGCTTCCATCACGGGGTGGTGGTGGGCTTCCATCACGGGGTGGTGGTGGGCTTCCATCACGAGGTGGTGGTGGGCTTCCATCACGGGTTGGTGGTGGGCTTCCATCACGGAGTGGTCCACCCGAAGGTAGTGCCGGTGGTGGTGGGCTTCCATCACGGGGTGGTGGTGGGCTTCCATCACGAGGTGGTGGTGGGCTTCCATCACGGGTTGGTGGTGGGCTTCCATCACGGGGTGGTGGTGGGCTTCCATCACGGAGTGGTGGTGGGCTTCCATCTCGAGGTGGTGGTGGGCCTCCATTACGAGGTGGTGGTGGGCCTCCATTACGAGGTGGCAGTTGACGTTTGTTCACTTGTGGTGGAGGGCTTCCATCAAGAGGTGGTGGTGGGCTTCCATCACGGGGTGGTGGTGGGCTTTGACCCCATTGTTGAGCACGGTCTCCACCACGAGGTGGGGGTCGATCTCCTCCTCGTTGAGGGGTACGGTCTCCATCTCTAGGTGGGGGACGGTGTCCACCGCGAGGTGGGGGTCGATCTCCTCCTCGTTGAGGGGGACGGTCTCCATCTCTAGGTTGGGGACGGTCTCCATTACGGGGTGGGGGCCGACTCCCTTCTAGTGGTGGTGGTGGACTTCCATCTTGTGGAGGTGGATTTGCTAATAAAGAAACACATTTTTTTTAAAAAATTTAATATTATTCGTCTTTTTCCCAAATTTTTATTCAAAAATATAATATGAATAATTCCAATATTATATGACTATCCTGCTACATTTAATATATTTTACACATGCATTTCTTGTTGTCATAATCACTATTTAATAGGGGTTTCAAGACCTAATATAATGGATACAACTTTATTAAACAAATATATTAGTTCATAATGAACCTCATATTTATCTTTAAAATAGCCCGCTACCATTACGAAATTTGAAGTAAACTCGAGAAATATATTTTTACAATTATACTTGTAAAATTTGTATTTTTTAATCACATGTAAAATGTAGACTCTAATTTTATAATAATTTTTTTTTGTCTATTTACATGTTATATATTTTTCATTTTCAAAACCTCTTTATACACGTTAACAATTTATCATTTCCGTAAGTTTAAATTTTTCAGAAGAAAACCTGGTCCAGAAAATCGCTTGACACATTTTAAACATGTAGTTTACTAACAACAGAAAGAGCACGTTGTGTCATATCTAAGATAATAAGTTAGATATTTTATTTTCCTGTATTTGTAATGAACGAATGTTAACCACTATGAATATTCTCTTATTTTTCTACTCACCATTGTCTTGGGCACAGCTCAAGCCGATAATGGTCAGAGCCAACAGAGCTACAACCTTCATCTTAGTAAATGTTCTACACAGCTAAAGGTTGAGTACAGGACTAGGTTTGAGCAGACTTTATATAGGAAAGTTTCTTAGGTTATGATTATGTAACCGCCAGGTGCTCGGTGTTGTCTAATGACATCTGATAGTCTTAAACACCAGCTGTAGAGACAAATCTTTCCCTTGAGCTGCGTTGAAAAAACAAAGCAGCCATTCGTTCGTATGTTTATTTTATGGTATTACTAGAATTCGCCAGGAACATTAAGCAAATATTTTCTGAACTATTGTTTCATTGTATTTCCCCATGCGTATGGTTCATATTTTTAACTTTATTCAATTATATTTATTTTAGTAATTACATTAAAAAAAACAATGATTTTAATTTTAAAATTTTGTTTGGAATGCTTTATTATTGTCAAATTTTAACATTCTCTATTTAACGTCTTGGCAGGTAAGGGGAAGTTGAAAAATATAAAGTTAGAAGGTGTTAGACACTTTGGCTGTACTGAGTGCATCCTTAAGTCAGATGCAGGTCTGGTGATCGGTGAGTGCAGCCGGTTAATTGTTCCGGGGTCATGGAGTTTAAAGAAAGACCCATGAAATGAAATTATTATTTTTTTTAAAAAAAGATAATATTTAAAAGTAATACAATTTTGCATATATGCTTCATACTTTAGATACATTTTGTGCCCTTGATTTGACAGTAGCGGCATTGCTTTTATATTGGCTTTCCTAAAACATTTCCAAAAAATATATATAACCAGTATTTTCCGAAAGTTCTCGAATTTGAAGTTTAAATGACTCAATACATAACCGAGATTGGCTTGTCTGGAGTGGACCTAAACAAACATTATTTTGTTTTCTTCGTCGATCATTTGGAGACAAGATCTGTTGCAGCAGTAGCAGCTCAGCATCTGAGTCGTTGCATGCATCAACATAAAGATTATCAGCAGCTGATATGTAACTAAAATTATGTATTCGTATCCCAGAACACTAGAGAAGTAATTGTCTCAGGCATTGCTGTCAAGCTTGACGAGAGTTAGACAGACACATGTCCTATGACAGTCTATTTAAATGGAACAGAATCTGTGACGTGGTACAACATTATGAGAATAATCATTGGTATTCCACTATATTGTTGAATGGGGGCATGCTCTACCTTGAATTACTCAGCACAATGGTGAAAAAGACATTGTACATTTTCTGGGTGTCATAGATTTGTGATTTCATTGTGATTTAATTCTAAAAGAAAATGTGGTTCAAGTTAAATAGTCACAAGAAAAGGGAGAACTACTTCAAGTACATTATCCCAGTGTCGATGCCCAAAACCAGTTCATTTCTTAATGTTCCTCCCTGAAATGCAAAGCAACACAATCTGGGTGAACAGGAAAACTGCAAAGTACTTTGCTTTTATTGTTTTAAAAGTATGTGGAGTGAAGCTAAGCGTGTTGCTTCTAATTTGTGTATAGAAGTGAAACTCTCTGGATTTCGTGGGCGAGTCAAAACGCACCAAAAAAAAGATATTCCATAGTGAGGATACTACAGAAGAAGCAGATTTTTCTAAACAAGATAAAATGAAGGAATTCCCTAAGATAGTTTCTTTCATAAAGTCTGTCTTGTATGTCATATTGGATAATGTCATTGGTAGACTCATTGTTAGTCTTAATGCTGTAGTGAAGATTTCTGAAAAAACTCAGCTTTATCTGGAAGTACCTATCGTTTCCTCAAGATGACCTGAAAGAAAAATCAACATTACTGACAGATCAATGTCCAGCTGATATCACTGGAGATCTTGTAATGGAGATCATTTGTCATCTGTTCATGAAGCAAATTTTGGAGTGGGCCAATTGAGTCCAATGGAGCTACTGAATTGCTTCAAAAGATACAAGCTGGAAGAAATCTCTCCGAATATATGTACCTGACTCCATATTCTATTAACAATGCAAGCCACTGTCGCCTCTGCAGGGCGTTCATTAAGCATACTCATTTTAATTATTATTTTTTTAATATCTAAGATCGACTACGTCAAATGAGTGATTAAAAAAAAAGGGGGGGGGGGAGTTTGTAGATGTGATTCACAATTTTGCCAGGAACAACTCTATGAAAGCAACATTTTTTATCAGAATATAAATATTTTTTAATATCTAAGATCGACTACGGCAAAAGAGTAATTAAAAAAAAAAGGGGGGGGGGGAGTTTGTAGATGTGATTCACAATTTTGCCAGGAACAACTCTATGAAAGCAACATTTTTTAGCAGAATATAAATGGTATTCCATCTCCGCTATAGTAACTGTTATACGCTTGTAATAAATCTGGCATAAAATTTATTTGCTTATGTATTTTTTTCCATATTATTTATATATGATTTTGCATCAATGTATTTGTCAGCTTTTAGAGACGTACCTGTCATCTTTTATAAATATTTTAAGTATGTCTGAATGTGTCCATGTGAAGTTAAAGGGGCCACATTTTAGCACTTATAGTATCTGCACTGTCTGCACTTCCTTCGGCTGCCCTAGTCATATGATTGTAAAAACTCTGAACTGTAAAAAGTCTGAACTGTTATAACAACACTGAACTGTAACAATTCTGAACTGTAACAACTCTGGAGATTTAGGGAGTGTTCATAGAATAATTTAGTACGATTTCGCACAAGCGTGTCTTTTCAATGATTTTATTTAATGCCTCGACTAGGAATTTGTTACACACAAAGTACTTTTTTAAAACCTTATATTAAACCTACCACTGAGGTTATTACTTTCAATATTATCATGTGTTTGCATTGTAATTTTTCATTCGTAATATGTATGGTCGTATGAAGGCTTTTAGGGCACTGGATACAGTCAACATTGGTGACACACAGCTGTCTATTTATTGTCCATTAATAGTGATCAGAGGCGTAGCGTGGTGGGGGCAGGGGGACAGATGTCCCCGGGCACCAGCTAGTTAGGGGCGCCAAAATGTGCTTTGATATTATTTTATTGATGAAAATACTGGGTTTGAGAGTTGAAAAAAAAGAAAAATGGATCTTGTCCTCGGGGGCGAATCTTGTCCCCGGGCGCAAAACACCCTCGCTACGCCTCTGATAGTGATCATAGTAAGCCCCTCATGGGACCGCTTGAGCCCCTTAAGCTAATATTGTTGAACATTTAGTATGATACCATGTAGATGGCGAAATAGGACGTGGAACGAAATACCACTTCAAAGCCTCAAATATTACTTTTTAACTAAAAGGAAAGTCATTTTTTAAAACCCCCTTTTTTAAGCAACTTGACCTTGACCCTATAATAGCTCGGCACCACAACCCACTCGATACGAACAACCAATACTATATATATTTTATGTTTTTTTGTGTTGTTTTTTTGTTTTTTGTTACGGAAATTTCTGGTACGTCGCATCAGCAACCTTTAAAAACTACTTCATTTAATGTTTAAGGAGTTTAATCATATTAAATCTTGTTATATTTGTGTAGTTATTTAAATAACTGCTATGCAACATTATTATATAGTAACATTATTGAAACACGTTTCTCTTGCTCTTAGATTAAATATAGTGTCATGCAGAAATAAATCCAGTTAGGCGCCAGAATAAATCCTTTATATTATGAAGTTACCAAGAGCACAAATGGTTGATTTTGTCCAGTTCCTTACAAGCATATACTTAAGATTGGGCATCTTCAGCGCCCTTAATTTCCTTCCCAACCCCCACCCCCAAATTTATCCATTCCGTTTCGGGGCGACTTAGCGTGTAAGCATGGAATTTTCAGGTATTTCAAGGTTCGTTATGTTAAGATTTCACTGCACCTTAAAGCACTTCTTTTAAATTTAATTGCAGTTGTTGTTGTTTTTCAGAGGTGTGTGTGTGTGTGGGGGTGGGGGGCAAAAATGTGTTCCTTCTCCTTATTACGCCTTCCACTTCATCCACTCATTTTAATTCGTTTGTAGTCATGATCCTAAGATTTTCATTTGAAAAAAGAAAGTATTTCAAGGTTCGTTATGTTAAGATTTCACTGCACCTTAAAGCACTTCTTTTAAATTTAATTGCAGTTGTTGTTGTTTTTCAGGGGTGTGTGTGTGTGTGGGGGGGGGGGGGCAAAAATGTGTTCCTTCTCCTTACTACGCCTTCCACTTCATCCACTCATTTTAATTCGTTTGTAGTCATGATCCTAAGATTTTCAATTGAAAAAAGAAACTGGTTAAAGGTGACCACATCTTTAATAGGAATGCAAGTGATATATTGAGTTTAGTTTTATTAGGGCCACTGAATATTTTCATCATGCGACACGCTTACCTATGTCATAATATGAATTTAAGATGTACACGTTCAGGATAATGTCTCGTAGAAATCTTTTTTTTCATTTGAAAAACAACAACTTGACACTTGTATTGAATCCAACATTAATAATTTTTTTATTTTTTTTTAAATGCTGGTTATGTAAGCTTTGTGAAAGTAAAGAACATAATTTGGAATGCCATAGTCTTGTTGAGTTTGTTATGTGACTTCATATGTTCTTTTCTTAAAGTAAAGAGTGATTTCGTTAATATTATTTTTTGTGTGGATCCTTTGGGGTTATTGGAGGGAGGAGGGCTTCTAATATGACAATGGGCGAAAACATGTCTAAATTCTTTCTAAACGTTTTAACTAAGTTTTATATGTTTTATATGTATTTAGTTTGTAAGGGTGAGTGTGCCTTATATCAGGAAGTTATTATTACATGAAACAATAGTAATAAAGTAGTGGTCCTCATGTTAGATCTCTCAAGGCACCAATGTTAGTTAGGAGATAATGATTTCGTTTGTATCGTGCCCTTTGTATGACCATTTGAAACATTGGTTTATAACTGCCATTCCTTTTGAATGTTCATGTCACGCAAAACATTAATGTCTAGGAAGAATTTCCTCTTAGAAACTTGTACATTTAAGACTTTTCAAATTATATACGTTAGTCCCCCCCCCCACCTTTTACATTTTTCCCCTCAACATATACACTAAAGTTACCCAAATTGATCAAATGAGCTACTACTTACATTATGCATCAAGTGATATCACAAACAACAGAAATACTCATGGATAAAAAGTTCTATACCATTGGTGTATGCCAGGGTGCAGGATTTGTATGAGATTCAAAGGTGAGATTTCGGGGAGGGGGAGTAGGAAGATCTCATTTAGAGGCGTCTGGAGAGAGAGTGTGTTTTGTACGGCGGATGGTATGTTTCCAGGAAGAAGCCTTGAGTGAACTTTCAAATGTTGGCATAGATGTACGATCATTGAAAGTCTGAGTCAGACACTCTTAACTTTTTTTTCATTTAAGAAAACCGGTAACGCTATAGTACAATTATATTATTATTATTATTAATGTGTTCATATATAGCCACATTACCCCACATTAGGGCTAGGCTCACTGCGCTTCACATAAAAATGAGCAATCAATGAAAATTATACATTTAAAAACAACAAGTGGTAAAAAGCTTGAACTCATCGACCCAATTACTATCTACTCCTGTCCATCTACGGACAGCACCCAGCAGTATCGAGCGTTGTTTATCCGTTAGATGGGGCTTAGAATGAGTCGGTATACTACAGTTTGAAGACATGGGTCTTGAGGGCAGTTTTGAAGGCTGGGATAGTCGTTATATTTTGGGCGTGTAATGGGAGAGAATTCCATTTTTTTGGACAAAGAAAGAGAAAGATCGTTCATCATAAGTTTTAGTGCGGCTCTTGGAATAGAAAGAATACTCGTGTCTTCGCAGGAGGGAAGCTATCGGAGTGGTGAATAGGCGGAAAGAAGTGTCATTAAGATAGGAAGGGCAGGAACCATGGAAAAATTTGTGACAGAAATTAGACAACCTGTAATCAATACATGTATGTATAGGGAGCCAATAGAGTGAGTGAAGTAGTGGGGTGACGTGATGACGTTTCCTTGCCTTTAATCTAACCAAGAAGCTAAGATTTGAACTTTCTGCAGTTTTTCTATGAAATGTTTTGGCGAATTTGACAGAAGAGTTTTACAATAGTCGAGACGAGAGAGAGCTAGAGCAAGGAATAGGATTATTTTTGCACAAATATGCGTGTCTATAGTGTTAATATTATTGTTATAATAACCTGGTGTTGTTTAAAAAATGCATAATTGTTGACTCTTTGAATGATGACCATCAAGTAGAATTACAATAGATGCAGCAATTAATTTTAAAGATCACGATTCTTAACAGTGGATTGAGAACCGTTACATGGAAAGTGCGGTATATCTATCCACTGCTACCTATGGACTTGACAATTTCAGCAGTACAAAGTCAAGTGAAGTGTAGCAAATAGATTGATAAACACAGTGGCCTATCAGCGTCTCAGAAAAAGTAAAGTGCTAATTTAAAGGAATTGGTTTCACTGTCTGAAACTGATCGGGGATGTCATCATGAAACAGGTTTATTCACTCATTTAGTTTCAAATTTATTTTAGGAACTTAGAATTGGGTTAATACTCTTTATATCCTTGCGATATTAAGCTTTCTTTAGTCTTAGTCTTTTATTCAATTCTTTGTATGTAGATTTTCTCAACATTTCGTCATGTTTTATTCCGTGTCATCTGGTTTCCTGCTCTTGAGGAAAAGCGTCTCCGAGGAAAGTCGGGGGCGCCCACATGGAGGCTTGCCTCTCCGCGGCGTGGAAGACTAATACGGAGTTACTATTCTTCTGAAGAAAAAAAACACGACCTGACTGCACGACTCCCAACGCACCGGGAATAGTAAATAAATGAAGGGACTGCTTTCAAGCTCTGTAAAAGAATGAAATGGTGAAACGAGGTATGTGGAAGCTTGAAATAAGGTAACAGGACAAAAAACAAGGACGTTTCGGCATAAAGCCTTCATCAGCCAACAATAGAAATGAAAATACAACAAAGAAAAGAACACAGTAGAAAACTCAAGCAGTATTCATTCGTCTCTCCGGAAGTGGGAAAACAGGAAGCGAGAGAAAATAAATATTGACACCGTGAAAAATAAAGTCCACAATAATAATGGGCCAGAATATCAAGGGATACATCAACAAACAGCAATAAGAAAATAGATGAAATATAGGGAAACGGAGAAACATCAGTAGGATATTATTTGATTAATACCATATGGAGATATGGTGCCAAACAGCTGAATAAATTTATTTTCCATTTTAACCCTATCTGGTGTGTTACTGCATGAAATCAATGCCGTAATGGTTACATCCAAAGCACCTTTATGTTCTTTTTGGTTGAAATGAGAAGAGACCGGGGAAGGTTTACATTGCTCAATATCCCTTAGATGTTCAGTAAACCTATCAGCCAATCTTCTCCCAGTTTCCCCTATGTAACTTGATTGGCATCTACGGCAAACAATCGCATATATTACATTTCTGCTGACACAGGTGAAACCCTCTTTAATGGTAAAAGTACCTTTAGGGAGGCCAATGCTATCAGTTTGGAGTGTAAAGGGACAAGTTCCGCAGCGGCCTCTTAAGCATGGTTTAGTACCAACGTAAGACGGTTCAGATCGAAGGCGACTATGAACCAGAAGATCACCTAGTAGCGTGGTAACATGAGTACTTGTTGCCAGTTGATGGATATGAGGCTTGGGTGGCGCTTTAAAAAAATATGCCGAAGATTTTTGCTACGCGGCATCGAGAAAGCCGCTGCTAGGTGACCGGTTCATCCAAGCTTTTCGCCCCGACCGAACGGCTCCGTGGGTGGTGGGGGATGCTAACGCGACACCATTCCTCTTAAGGGGAAGCAAACCCAACCAGACCTTAGGGAGAGTGGACTGCGAAAGCTTTAAATACAGAGTTTTCGGTCAACCGTATGTCCCCCAGGTCAGGGGAGGGGGGTTCCCGGCGTGCCCCCACTCACGCTTGACGGCCCACCGACGCCACATCCCATGTGACATTCTATGTCAAAAAGTAGATTTATATTAGAAAACTGATTGTCTTCATTTTAGCCAGAAGTGGGTCTCAACCTACGTGATTTAGCACTCTTTTACTTATCCCTTGGAACTCCATTCTGTTCAACTTAGTTTCATATTTTTTTCATTTAGATTTAAAAGTTACATAAGGAAAGATGTTAAGTTGTATCTGTAGAAATTGTCTATTTATTGTTGTGAATTAAGTTTCAAATAAATAAATATATATATTTCCTTTCCTAGAAGCCGAAAGACACGCACGTTCACTTAAAATATTTGTTTTATTAATTATTGGTCTTGAACATTTGATCGCAAATTCAATTAAAACAATAAGAAAAATACATTGAAAATTGTTTAAATCATTTTAATACAGAAGCAAAATTCATATGTTCTTTAACACTGCACTGTTTTCTCTGTTAAAACATTTTGTGCATAGAGAAGCTCTCACCGATCTAATGTAGAAAAGAACATATTAATGCTCAGCTTTATTGGCGACGTGGGGGGCCTGGTGGTGGGCGTCTTCCAAATGGAGGGGGAGAAAGACCATCACGGGGTGGCGGTGGGCTTCCATCACGGGGTGGCGGTGGGCTTCCATCACGGGGTGGTGGTGGGCTTCCATCAAGGGGTGGTGGTGGGCTTCCATCACGGGGTGGTGGTGGGCTTCCATCACGGGGTGGTGGTGGGCTTCCATCACACACGGGGTGGCGGTGGGCTTCCTTCACGGGGTGGCGGTGGGCTTCCATCACGGGGTGGTGGTGGGCTTCCATCAAGGGGTGGTGGTGGGCTTCCATCACGGGGTGGTGGTGGGCTTCCATCACGGGGTGGTGGTGGGCTTCCATCACGGGGTGGTGGTGGGCTTCCATCACGAGGTGGTGGTGGGCTTCCATCACGGGGTGGTGGTGGGCTTCCATCACGGGGTGGTGGTGGGCCTCCATTACGGGGTGGTGGTGGGCCTCCATTACGAGGTGGTTGTGGGCCTCCATTACGAGGTGGCAGTTGACGTTTGTTCGCTTGTGGTGGTGGGCTTTCATCACTGGGTGGTGGTGGGCTTCCATCACGAGGTGGTGGTGGACTTTGTCTCCATTGTTGAGGACGGTCTCCATTACGAGGTGGGAGACGGTCTCCATCTCGTTGAAGGGGGCGGTTTCCGTCACGAGGTGGAGGACGGTCTCCATTACGAGGTGGGGGACGTCTCCCGTCTAATGGTGGTGGTGGACTTCCATCTTGTGGAGGTTCACTTGCTAATAATGAAAAATATTATGTTTTGAATTTAATATAATTTTAATGATTTATAATTTTTTTTTATTTACCTGTTACATATTTTTAATTTTCAAACCCTCTTTATACATCTTAACAATTCATCTTTTCCTTAAATTTAATTTTTTCAGAAGAAAACCAGTTTCCGGAAAATCGCTTGACTCATTTTAAACATGTAGTTTTCTAACAACAGAAAGAACACGCTGTGTTATGTCTAAGATAATAGGTTAGAGATTTTATTTTCTTGTAGTTGTAATCAACGACTCTTAAACAGTAAGAAGATCCTCTAATTTTTCTACTTACCAATGTCTTGGGCAAAGCTGAAGCCGATAATGGCCAGAGCCAACAAAGCTACAACCTTCATCTTAGTAAATGTTCTGCACAACTAAAAGTTGAGTACAGCACTAGGATTAGGCAGACTTTATATAGAAACGTTTCTTTGGCTATGAGTTTTAACTGCCAGGTGCTTGGTGTTGTCTAATGACACCTGATAGTCTTAAACACAAGCTGAAAAAAATACAAACTCCCGTGAACCACGTTGACAAACAAATCTGCCACTCGTTCGTATGTTTATTTTGTTGTATTTCTAGAAGTTTTCAGCAACTTTAAGCAAATATTTTCTGATATGTTTTAATACGTGACGTCATTGGATTCCCCAAAGCTTATGGTTGAAATTTTCAACTTTGTTCCATTATGATTATTTTATACCTTACTTTTTAAAAAGTAATAATTACAATTTTACATTTTACTTTACACTTCTTTAATACTATTTTAAAGTCAACGTTGTTCTTGTAACATTGGGGAAGGGGTGGGTGTTGCGGAACCTACAGAGCCAGAACTAGTGTGTTCCAAGTGGGCGGCCATCTTAAGTCATATGACATTTATCATCTATGACATTTTTGTGAATATTTATTTTGAGGTAAACACAGTTTCCGGCTCGCTTTTAAGAAAACAATATTATAACATCGTTTTATTTATACAGTTTTTTATTTAGCCTGGGATAAGTCTGTCTGATAGTCTGGGTCTGACTCGTCTTTTGTCTGTCTGATCCTCTAGTTCTGACTTTTCTTTTGTATGTCTGATCGTCTGGGTTTGACTCTTCATTTCGGAAAAATTCCTGAAGTCCATTGGAGCTCGAACTTTGTACACTTCCCCCCCCCCCACACTTTTTCCCCGATGTCAATACAACACTTTTAAGATCAATAGGTCATCAATGACCTACACTGACCCCGAGTGACCTATGTGTGTACAATCTGTCATCTTAAGTTTGACCCACTTCCTGATCTTCACTGGAGCTGAAAATATTTACCTTTGACTCAAATGTAGACAATAAAGCAACATTTAAAAAAAACAACTTTAAAAAACACTCTTTTCAAAAAAATTAATTAAAAATTTCAGATAAAAGTCCCCCAAATTTCAGAAGTGTTACACCATCTGATTAAACAAAAAAAGGCGGGTATACATGAACTCAATGTGCTCTTTAAATCGCAAAGATACGCACGCAACTTTATCGTAAATTTCGTTGCACTTGTCAAGATCACCATCGATGGGAGCATACTAAAGTAAAGCCAGGAAGTTTTGAAAACGTATACTTCCACGAATACATAATCTGCATCTTAACAGTTTAGTAACATAGCACGTGTAGCAATGCGACCGCATGCATGTGTAGCAATGCGACCTAACATAGCATGTGTAGCAATGCGACCGCATGCATGTGTCCAACAATGTATTAAGTCGTACGCCGTCTTTGAATTTCATAATTATGAAGGTTTGAATATTCAAATCTATCAATTTTATTTTTTTTTTGTTTTTCCAAATTTACACAAATACATCTTTCCTGAGATAAATCATATCTTTATAAGATTTATGTTACCTTTTTCTTATTAATATGTCATTTCATTTAGATAATTATCACGTATTAATTAATATATGATGCTTTTTGATAATTTAAATTTCCTTTTTTTTTAATTATTATATCCCATTTCTATATAATTTATAAAATATGACCAGTTTTAAAAAGGTACACTAAACTATAGCCTTGCTACCAAAACGCATTTGTTTCTCTTTTTAGTCTCTGCCAACTTGAATAAAATGCCTATAGGTTGATGTTATTATACTTAAAGTTTCAATAAAATGGTTCCTAATGATTTATAATGAAGATAGCCATCCTTTTTAGTCACGATAAACCTTTTTTAAAGGGCCACCACTCTTCGGTACTGAAAAGTTATTTTTACCGCTGAATTATTCGACGAAAGAATTTGCTACAGAATCATTTTAAGGAACAACAAAAAACTTCATAAAAAAAAAAAAAAAAAAAAAAAAATTTACAAAAAAATAAATTAAAGAAAAAAAAAAAAACTTAAAAAAAAAAAAAAAAAAAAAAGAATTTTCAAGATTGACTGACATATGTACACTGATCCGAAAAAAAATCATTTATTTAGATCAGTAGAACTATCTTATCTTATCTTATCGTATCTTATTATTTTTGTTTAAAAAAAAACATTAATAATGTGGTGAAAAAAAATTAATAGTCAGATTTTAAAACTATGCAACACGATCAATAGTTTGAAACGCCTGAAAATAAATTATTTAAATAGATTCAGTTTTAGAGGGGGATATATTTCCATATCTTTCCAAAATGCACACCTGCATTTTAAATTGACTTAAAAAGCTATTTGTAGGGACTCGCTAAGTCACTTACAGCAAAAACCAATGTAGTTCGGGAGCCACCGGTGTCCTCGTCTTCTGGTCCCTCACAGGTCAATGAAACAGTACCTGTACGTTTTGCATGCACAAAAAGCAAATGAATTTCTTGAAATAAAAATACGTGATATTCCCTTGGTCTGGATGTAATTAATTATATATAGATTCCCATGGTTGAGACTAGGCTGTGGCCAAAAGCGAGCCCTTACGGAGAGCTCCATTTTGAATAGATTTAAGCTCATGTAAATTTGGGGTAACGGTGTTAGAGCCGGCCCTCCCGATTGCCTAAAAAAAGCTCCCCCCTCCCCGAAGAAAACAAAACAGGCTCCCCATGACATTGTCTAAAAGACATACTGTTTATAACGGCTGGATCCACCTGAGCTCCAATATTTTTCCTAACGTTCCTTGAACATGTTAAAGAGGAAAATGCTCCGTTCCTGTTTAGACGGCCTGGCGTCAATATCGGAGTATGTAAATATACATATATAAAATAATGCAAATAAAGTTTGTATGTGTTAGTGAAGTCGCACATTTAGGATTTCACCTATGGTAAAATTTAGTGAAGCTACGCCATTGTAATTAAGGGTGAAGTAGTTCGGATTTGTAATACATTTGTAAAACAAACCCTGAAGAAAAAAATCATCGTTAAAACCTCATACACCTACGCCCTTTTAGAACTTGATTTACCCTTGCCCTTCACTAGCTCATACACCTACGCCCTTTTAGAACTTGATTTACCCTTGCCCTTCACTAGCTCATACACCTACGCCCTTTTAGAACTTGATTTACCCTTGCCCTTCACTAGCTCATACACCTACGCCCTTTTAGAACTTGATTTACCCTTGCCCTTCACTAGCTCATACACCTACGCCCTTTTAGAACTTGATTTACCCTTGCTCTTCACTAGCTCATACACCTACGCCCTTTTAGAACTTGATTTACCCTTGCCCTTCACCAGCAACCATCTTTCAATTTGCCCCGTCAATAAAAAACCTAGCATCCCTAATTCAAACACCACCTCATAAGGCTTCCTTTGCACCAAACACCACCTCATAATGCTTCCCTTGCACCAATTATCACCTCAAAAGTCTTCCTATGCACCTATCACCACCTCATAAGGCTTCCTTTGCACCAATCACCACCTCATAAGGCTTCCTTTGCACCATTTATATGTCCTTCGGGGCTCTCACTTCTCAAACATTCATTTGACTTTTAAAACATTCCCTACCTTCAGCTCTCTCTTCCCATGTGGCTTAGCAATCGATGTACGGTCCATCCCTGACGCCACTTTATTCATTATACAAGGGTGGGGGGGGGGCATTTTGTGTGCAAAAGACGTAAGCAAGATTTTATTTCATTATTAATAACTACGCATCGTTATAAGATATTGGAAATCTAACTGGCTGATCCAGTTTTGTTTTTTTTGTGTTCTTTTTCTGTGATCCATCCGTCACAGTGTGGCGATGGTGAAGACTTCGCAGGACGAAATCCACAAGGCCTGGGATTATTCTTCAGATTATAAGCTGATTCCCAAGAGCAAATCGCTTCCCCCCCCCCCACGTAGGGAGCATCATGTGGATGATTCAGCTTGTCACCAGTGGCGTCACTGGAGTTGTCGGAATGTTTCATCGTACCAAGGTTATCCGCCTACGGGACTTCACCTCCGGGTTTGAAATCTGATCTTCCTTCTCCTAGATGAATGGCCGATCCAGTTTATACAAAGATTATGTCGCAAAGAAAAACGAGTCATATAAAATGGTTTTTAAAAAGAGCCGTCCGTTAGGGGGATGGTTATTAAAGGGCAGAATTTGACGGATAGTTTCCCTTGACGACTTGAAATAATAAGGTAAATACTGGCCTATGTGACAGCTGTAATAATATAGGTGGGCACTTAAAACAACAAGAATTATATATTACAATTCCTCAGCGTACAAATAAAATTAACTTTTAAAAAAACTTAAAATTTGATAAGATATGATAAGTTTCCTTATTGGTCATGGTCAAAAAAAAAAAAAATTGAATTATACAAATTAATGTTCAGTACAAAAAATAAAAGGATAGTTTCCCTTGACGACTTGAAATAATAAGGTAAATACTGGCCTATGTGACAGCTGTAATAATATAGGTGGGCACTTAAAACAACAAGAATTATATATTACAATTCCTCAGCGTAAAAATAAAATTAACTTTTAAAAAAACTTAAAATTTGATAAGATATGATAAGTTTCCTTATTGGTCATGGTCAAAAAAAAAAAAAAAAAAATTGCATTATACAAATTAATGTTCAGTACATAAAATAAATACTTTCATATTTGAACCATGTCAACATTTTAAAATTATAACAATTTAAACGCAGGACATCTAAAGTATTTCTCTAACGTAGAAATCATCCACCAATGAACTCCTTTAGTGACAGCAATCAATTGATTAGAAAACATTAAGATTTGTTAACCACTGGCGGACTGGGAAACAAAAAATGTTGATATTTTTCGGTCATAACTTTAAGAGAAATATCTCGCGCCTGATCGAACTGATATTAGGTATCTGTGATGAAGTGGGTGGGATGTGAACTTTGGTATCGGAGAGGAAGTGGGTGTGATGTGCTCTTAGGTATCTGTCATGAAGTAAGTGGGATGTACTCTTAGATATCTGTGATGAAGTGGGTGGAATGTGCTCTTAGA